AAGGCGGCAGCCCCTGGGGCAGCTAGCTGCAGCTAGCTGTGGCTAGCTGCCCCGCCAAACTGCCTGAAGGTTCGTGGTCTAGGGTCTAGGGTTTAGGGTTTAGGGTTTAGGGTTTAGGGTCTGAGATTTGAGGGGGATAGTGCCGGCAAGCACAGGCTTGTGGTCAGTGCTAATCGCTAAACCCTAAACCCCGCGTATGCCTTTCTGCGCAGGGTTTAGGGTTTAGGGTTTAGGGTTTAGGGTTTAGGGCTGGCGTGCTACCTCCTCGGCGAACTCATTACAACAAGAAACAATAGAAAGAGGAAAAAATAACGCAAAGAGGCTGCAGCACTAGCAGCAGCAGCAGCAACAGCAGCAGCAACAGAAGCAGCAGCAGCAGCAGCAGCAACAGCAGCAGCAGCAGCAGCAGGTAGCTCTCCCGCGTCTAGCGTTTTTTTCCGCGTTTTCCTTCGCAGATGCAGATTGCAGTACTAATATAAATAATTCTACCAACCAAATAAATAACAAAAATAAACAAATAGACAAATAAATAAACAAATAAATAAAAAATAAATAAATAAATAAGTAAATAAATAAATAAATAAATAAATAAATAAATAAGTGGAATTAATGTGTGTACATGTGCATATGCGTATGCGGTGTACGTACACTCCAGAATGCGCTTTGGTTTGGATAAATCTGAAAACGGAAAAACGAAATTAATTTCTTTTTTAATGCAACAAAAGCTGCTTCAAATAGTGAAATAAGAAATAATAAATAATAATGTTCTTTTATTTTAAAAGAAAACGCATGCAGAAGCAAAAAGTGAAAAATAAAAAAGGAGTCAAAGGACCCGCGGGCGCCGCGCTGGGGTGTACGTACACCTGAGCGGTGCAGCGCAGCTGGGGTGTACAGACACCGCAGAAGTACCAAAATGAAGGGAAGGGAAGAACAAATAAGACTCAAATATAATTATAAATAAATAAATGAAAGTTTTCCCAAATTGCAAATGAAATACTACCTATCCACCTCTACTATCTTTGCTGCTGAGGTGCAGCTGGTCCCGTACAAATGCGGAAAAGTTGTGCGCCAGTACGGAGGCGGAGGCCTCCTGCCTATGCCGCTGCTGCTGCTGCTGCTGTTGCTGCTGCTGCTGCTGTTGCTGCTGCTGCTGCTGTTCGTTTCTGGGTCCGTGTCGCTGTCAATGTCTGTGTCTGCGTTCGCGTTCGTAGCGGCATCTTGAGCTGCTGCTGCTGCTGCTGCTGCTGCATCTGGCGACTGCGGCGTCATTGTAGCTGCTTTGTTCTTCGCTGTGTCTGCTGCTGCAGCTTGCGCTGCAGTTGCTGCTGCTGCAGCAGCAGCAGCAGCAAAGGGGTCCTGCCTGGGCAGCATGTAGTCCTCTTCGTCTGCGAAGCAGCAAAGCCACCGCAGCCACCAGGCCCGCCCCACATCAACAGCAGCAGGATCCATTCCTGCTGCTGCTACTGCTGCTGCAGCAACAGCAGCAATGCTGCGGCTTAGACTCTGCATCGAACCAGACCCTCGCAGCCCCGCAGGCTCGCCAGAAGCAGCGCAGCAGGGGCGCCCGATAGACTGCAGCAGCACGCATGGGCTGCTGCTGCTGCTGCCGGAGGATTTACCCTGCTGCTGCTGCTGCTGCTGCTGCTGCTTTCTTGCTGCTGCTGCTGCTGTCGCTGCTGCAGTCGTGGCTTTTTGACAGCCCTTCGGGCTTATCCTGTCCCCTTTCCCCTTCCCACTACCGCTCGGGCTGCCGCTGCTGCTGCCGCTGCTGCTGCTGCTGCTGCTGCTGCTGCTGCTGCTGCTGCTGGCTTTGTCTGTGTCCTGGAAGCGAAAGACATGGTCTGTCTCCGGCAGCTTAATCATCTTTCTGTCTTCTGCTGCTCCATACTCAAACTTCTCCATAAAGATCTGCAGGTGGCGGCTCATCATCTCCACTAGCCGCTCGTCGTCCTGCAGCAGCAGCAGCAGCAGCAGCAGCAGCAGCAGTAGCAGCAGCAGCACAAAGAGCCCCGCAGAAAGGTGCAGCGAAAGAGCAGAAGCAGCAGCAGCAGACACGCATGCATGCAGGACATGTCCTATCTATACATGTTTGCATGCACGCGTGCATGCATGCAAGACAAACCCTCTACCCGCATGCATGCATACATGCATGCATGCATGCATGCAACTTTGCATGCATGCATGCAAAGTTTGCATGCACGCATGCATGCATGCATGCATGCATGCAACCTTGCATGCAGCCTTGCATGCATTGCCAGCAGAAAGCTGTCTGCGTCTGCGAGTCTTCCCGCATGCATGCAAAAGGACTTTTAGGACTTATTTGACTTTTTATATTTTTTCTTTTTTTTGAACTTTTTGCACTTTTGTACTTTTTAGACTTTTTAGACTTTTCAGATTTCTCAGACTTTTTGTAATTTCTTTTGTTTATTCCCACAAATGTTTGTTTACAACTTTTGTTTAATAATTTCTTTTAACTTTTTGTTTTAATTATTTAATTGATTAAATAAAATTACTTCTGAGAAGTGTCCAGCGAACTGGGGGTGTTTGTTGATGAAGACAAGAGCAGCAATTGCTTCTCCGCTTTTGTTGACCACTGGTGCTGCCAAGACACTTCGGGTTTTGCTGCCGAACTTCTCGTCAAACTCCGGGTTGAAACGCGGGTCCTGCAGCAGCAGCAGCAGCAGCAGCAGCAGCAACAGCAGCAGCAGCAGCAGCAGCAGCAGCAGCAGCAGAGGGCGTGGGAAGGAGCTCGCAGCGGAAGGCTGCACCTGCAGCTCGCGCAGCTGCCACCCCCACC